TGAATTCATCTGACTAGTGTTAGCAGAACTTAACTTTGACTGAGAGAATACTGGCGTCTTAGGGGATGAAATCTTCCCATTGTCGGCACGACTGTGACATGTTTCCACAGGAAAATCAATCCGAGTTAAGAGGTTACTGTTCATTGTAGATGCATTTTAGAACAAACTGACGATAAATATAATTCCTTGCAGTCGTATAATGAGAAGCAACTAGCTGCAGTAATACGTGACTTGATATTCTCATCTAAAAGTCCTTCTACAGATTGACTGTGAACAGGATAAATAAATACAATTCTGCCTGAAGCAGGAAAACCCATCATACACGAAAGGCTTGACGACAGTCGCACTCCATTTTTCAAAACCTGCGATGAGAAGAGTCTCAAGTTAACCCCAACTTCCATGTTCATAGGATATAATGCATCAGGATTTTCGTACAAGCTGCAATATTATCCACACAACAGCAAAATAAGGTATAGCAAATTAACAATTAAAAGCAAGATTAATAAACCAATGAAATTATAGTGAGAGAATTTACTCCTAAATTCTCCCTAACACAATAAAAAAGAAACCAAAAAAATCTTCACAACAGCCCATAGGATTGCATATCATAGTTTTAGTTCATTTGTTACAGTAAATATTAAATAGTAAGTGCACAAGGAAATTTACAAAGAGCATTTTGTGACATATTCAATTAATATATCATGACACTGAAAACAATAAGTAAACAGGCAGTAAACAGAATTCTAAATTTCATTCAGAAAACTTCAACATTCTCGGGGTGCACATAATTTGAGCTTGTAAGTCGATGATATGAATCATCAGTTACAACTGAGAAAGGATTTTCAAACTAGATTATCCTGATCAGCATCACAATCTTATTGTCTGGCATGAACAAAAAAAATAACAAGGAGATGTACCAAGAAATTACACACACACACACACACCCCCCCCCAAAAAAAAAAAAAAAAGAAAAAAACACAAACACACAAAAAAGAAGAAAAAACTTTGCTCCTGTATTTTTTCCCAACTGCATTAATATTAGAGAAAAGATAATGAATGAACAAATCACATGATGTCAAATCACCCCACATCCTAATCCTATGACTCCGTAAGCATTATGAGCAGATCAGAAAACCTAAATCCCCCCAGGCCCCATGTTGAGTAGTAGAAACATAAATAAAGAAGTAAGACCATGAAATTAAAGTAAGATATAACTGGTGTTCTAGATTTTCTTATACAGAGCATCAGTTGTAGAGATTATAGTTCATTAATTTTTCATCAATAATATTTCTTTTCCATCCCTAAAATCAACAAATTCGCTATTCACCTGATATGTTTTCACAAATAATGAACAATTTAAAGGACAACATCCAATCCTTTTCTTTTTTTCTTTTTTTTTTTTTTGTGCTGACTAGAATTCATCTAATTCAGACTTGGCAGAGTTCATCCAACTTACAGTAAATATTTTATATAAGTGCACAAGGAAATCTAAAAAGAGCATTTGTGACATATTCAATCAATATAGCATGACACTGACAACAACAAATAAACAGATAGCAAACAATTCTAAATTTTATTTGGAAAACTTTGACAGTCACTGGGTGCATCCAATTTATTTTGTAAGGCGATTAAATGAATGATCAGTTACAACTGACAAAGGATTTGCAGACTAGACTATTATATTTCCAGTACCACAATCTTATTGTGTTGGATAAATAGTACTAAAACAAGGAGATGTTGTACTCATAAGCTACCACCCAACCCACCAAAAAAGAAGAAGAAAAAATTTTACTATTGAATTCACTTCAACTGCCTTAATAGTGAAAAGTTAATGAATGAACAAATCACATGATGTCAAATCGCTCCCGTACCCTAATCCTATGCTCAGTAACCATTATGTGCAGATTAGAATACCCCACGTACCACATGAACACTAGTAGATAAAACATAAATAATTAATTAGAACCATGAAAGTAGAGTAGGATGGAAGTGGTGCTCCAAATTTCCTTATAAGAAAGAAGCATCAGTGCTAGAGATTATAGTTCAATAAATTTTTATCAAGGTTGAATAATTTCCATCCTCCACAGACAATTTTGAATCTACAAATTCTCTATTCAGCGGAGAAATATTTACAAATAATGAAAATTTAGCGAACAACACCCAAAACATTTTTTTCTTTTCTTTATTTGGGTGTTGTTCAGACCAAGAGTTCATCCAATTAATAGCCATTACTTTGAGATAGACAGCTAGGCTATGCATGCTTCTTTACCTTCCAACATTTTCAAATCACACGAAATAGTTGATAGAAGAAACACAGATGACCTAAGGCACATAACTACATTCAAACCTTACAAGAGGGAAACACAGTTGCTAGAACAAAGTAGTTTCCCGCTTCATTAGCCATTAAATCCGTAGAGGCAAACCCAAAATGTCTAGCACATTCATCTGGCAAAGAGCTGAGAGGCAAGTTACTTGACATTTTCTTTCCCGAATAAGTGAGGGAAACCTGTCAATGAGTCAATGCAACAACTATCAATCCCAACGTGCAATATAAAAAAATTACTAGTGTAAAACTAAGTAACATATGAAGAATGGTATTTTGAAATATAAAATACAATAGGGATAATATACCATGGCACTATAGATGTCGAACCAAAAGCAATACAAAAATGACTTAATTGTATGCGCATATATCCCTATATTCCAACAATCAAATTGTTAAATGTTTTAATAGAGAATCACTTGGAAGAGCTTTACACAATATCCTCATATCCAGAAATAGAACAGCCGCTAAAACTCAGAACTGGCAAGGATTGATATCGGCAAGATTAGTTCAAGGTCAAACAATCATATATCAAAAAAGAAATGATGGGAATAGTTACTAAAAGATTTGGCTAAATATACAGAACTTTTGCAGATATAAACTTTTTACAAGTAAATTCAAAGAGTAGAACTTTGTGAAAAAAGAGTACTTTGATATTCTTCATAAATTTGGAAAATGCAGCAAAATTATGAAAATTCAGCATGAAATCTCAAATATTGACCAAGGTGAAACAAAATCAAAATCCGAATTACAAAAAAAGCAGCATTAACCTCTTAAATGGGCCAAAAATAAAGCAAACAAAAAAAAACCAAATTGTAGGCGCACTAAGGCAAACTAAAAAAGAGCATACTCAGTGTAATGGCGGGAGCCTGGGAAGAATTAGATGTATGTAGTCTTATCTCTACAAGCAAAGAGGTTGTTTCCACAATTCGAACTCGTGACCATCAGGTCACGGAGTAATTTTACCGTTGCACCAAGGCTGACGCTCTACCGGCAAAACTAATTTCCTTTCATAAAGAGTAGACACTTGAGTAATATGCATCAAATTGGCCAAAATTACAGCCACATTTGAGATTTGGTTGTAAATCTTGAAATTCACAAAAAAAACTCAAAGACAAGGAATCTAGTAATCTTGACGCTAACTTGTCATATGAAAATCTTGTAATTCTTTTGCTTAAAATTCAAATACAGTCCTAATTTGAAAATTTTGTTTGGCCCAAATCAGAAAATACAAATAAGAATATTGTTTATTGTTTAATAAGAAAAATGGCTCTAATAATATTGCTAAACAATTTCTAAAAATGCACTTATCCAAATTCAGCCCAAAACAAATAACGGTCAAGTACTGTTCCCATCACACTTTCGAATTAACCTACATTTTCTACACCCAAAATCATGTCTAAAATTAAAAATCTTGAGTTTGACAGCAAGAAATTGAGGTCAATACATAAGAATGCCATGAGTAAAAGAATTTTCTCACTGGAGCAGATCACCCAGACATTTATAATATTACATTACTTAATTGAAAAAACATTACGTAATTGAACACTGACTTTTTTAGAATAAGAGTGGTGAATTGAAGTGGTATTGAACTTACGGATACGGTGGACCCGGGGCTGATGGAAGAAGCCACCATAGAAGACTGAGAAAGCCAAATCTTGCAGCCTTTGGAATCCACAACCTCACCAACATCCTCTGTGACTCTGCCAATAACTGCAGTTTTCCCAATAAGAGATGGGTATTTCAAGGAAGCTTCATCTAGAGCGGACAAGAGGTCTTCTTCACTGAATTCAACATCTGGGTTTGGCGTCAAATTTGAGGATGATGAAGGCGAAGTCTGGTCAGAGTGTGAGAACTTTGATGAAGCTGTCTTCGAGTGTTTCTTGGTTTTTGAAGGCATTGAAACTAGGGAAATATAGAGAAGTAGAAATACCCACGGGAGTACGCTAACTTCTGTTTCTGGGTTGGGTGTGAAGACAACGGAATTTGAACCATTCCAACGTAGTGGAAGATGTTTGGTGGACGATGGACAGTGGCTTGCTGCAAGCCTGCAACTGCGACTGCGACTGCGACTGAGAGAGATGAACGATGAACTGCTGATTGTGGACGGTGGGCCGACGGGATGACTGGCGAGTAGTGAGGTGGTCCAGAGACGCAGAAGCGGTGAGAGAGAATGATATAGTTTTAGGGCTGAAAGGTGTTGGGCTCTGTATTTTATATCAAAACCTGATCCGCCGGAATATGAAATAAAGGTTGAAGTGGGTTTGCATAAAAAATTAAAAATACCATAATCAACCGGGTCCTCAACGATTTTTTAGCTATCCGGTTTTCCAAGTTGTTCTGCAGGGCCGCTCCGAATTTTCTAATGATGTCCGCAAAGGATAATACACAAAAATTTGCAATAAATTAATTGTAATTATTGAATTAGTGGTGGGTTCTAATTTATGATTTGGTGAAAGTTTTATATATATTTTTTTGTATACATAGCATTGTTCGTCCACAAATATACGTCCCCACCCTCATTAAATTTATAGAGTAAACTATACAAATGATTGTTAAACTATAATCCTATGATTAATTAAGCCTTTGAAATAAATTTTATGTCAATTGAGCTCTTAAATTCTAAAATTTTAACAATTAAATTGTTATGTCAGCTGCTATTAAGTTTTTGTATGTAATATTTCACGTGTTCACCACATGTAGGTTCTTCGAAGAGTAAATAAGCATAGACTCACCACGTTTGTGTAGTTTATAATAATAATTTTCTTGTATTTTTTCTACTTTTCAAATTATAAAAATAAAATTTCTTATGACTGTCTAAAGAAATTTTCATTCCAAACAAATACAACAAAGAAAATATATTTTCTTTTAATTTTTCTTTTTTTCACTTTATTTTCTATGAATATAAATTGGCTAAGAGTAATTCCAAGGGTTAGCACAGAGGTAATCTTGAAATTTTGTTTCCAATAGACTAGTTATCTCACTAGATATTTTTCATAACCTTCATTTAGTTAGTTATTTTTGGCGAGAAGAAACTCACTATTCTGTTTTTGTGCCAATTTCTTCATTCCATAGCACTCTTGATTTTAGTCTCCTTTGCTCGTTATCTTCCTCAACTAGACATAAGGATCTTCGTCCAATCCAAGTATGGAGTTATATTTCTATCTCTGTCTCTCTCTTTCTATATCTGACTCTCTCGCTTTCTCTGTCTCTATTTGTGTGTAACACCCCAATCTGTGGTACAATATCTGTAATTCATGTTTTTATTTTCATACACCTTTCTTTATATATAAAAATAAGCATATAAAAAAAAAATTATTACACCCCTTAGTGCTACTGCTTGCCATGAGCCCTGCTTATATTACAGACCATAATATTGATCTAAAAAATATGACATATAATAATACAATGTAAATTTAAATGACATAAAAAATGAATCCCATGATGACATTCCAATCGACTCTCTAGACTCGGCAGTGGACTCGTCACATCTTTATGATTTTTCCTGAAAAGTCATTAAGACTCTTAGTAAAAGCAAAGATACAATTGATATTTAAGAGCACAACAAGTGATAAAGGAAACTTTCTTTATTTAGGAACAATCTTAACCACGTATCAGATATTTACTTACAAATTACACTTCACCGCATTCGCTTACATCACATAGGCATAACCTGTATATACCACATCGGCAAAATATACAGCACATATATGTGCTTCTCCATAATTAAATTATTCCTCACACTAGATACCCCACACGCGCACAAAACTAAACGTCTTGTAAACAACAACCGCCATTCAGGCTATATTTAATTGTACAGATTCTTGCGCCACACAAGCCACACGTATTGCAAGTTTTTATCACCTCATAGATACCATTTGTCACTGGGACAACCCAAACCACATTAATGATTTTCCTTTAGATGACCCACATCACAGAGAGTTTTTAATCACATTACTTAGACGCTCCACCATATAATCAAATCCCATCACGTAGACGACTCAAGCCATATAAATAATTCATGTTACTTAGACGATTCAACTCACATAATCTTATTTCGTCACTTAAACAACACTCACAACACTATCGTATGTCTTTCCTCAATTAATTATTCTCAACAATAACCGTAGCAAAAATATATGTTTAAAAGTCTAATAAATGATCACAAAAAAATTGTAGGGTGGTGCACTTACCTTGCATGATGTTTTATTCGTAAACGCCCCCTCTGCCAAAGCTTCTAATGCGCCATTTTTAGCGATGTTCATCTCCAGACCTGGCATAACTGATATTCACAATTCCATTCATACATTAATACGTAATATCGCTTATGTTCGAGATGGTTTACTCGAACCTAGTTTAATGGTTATATCCCTTCGAATTAAATAATTTATTTATATTAAATAACATTATTTATTCGAATTGATTAAACTAATAGTTTGATAATCAACTCGAGTCAAGTTAAATAATCAATTCGCATAAAGTAAAATTATCTATTCGAATTGATTAAACTAATAGTTTGATAATCAACTCGAGTCAAGTTAAATAATCAATTCGCATAAAGTAAAATTGTCTATTCGAACCAAATTTAGCTAATCTTCTTGAATCCTTTTAGAAAATATTTATTCGAATCAATCGCACCCAAAATTTAACATTTTTCATAAAATTATAAACATAACAAAAATATACTTAAATTTGCGTAATTTTCTATTTAACCATAAAATGACATGTTTACTTGTAATTACTTATATTCATAGATTCATAAAAATTCAAGAACAATTCACAAGATTTATAAGCTACTCACCAAACTACTATGCTAATTTTTTCAAGCAACACCTATGGTACTATGCATTCATAACAAGTATTCCAACAAACCCATATGCAATAATTCTACTCTTCTATTTTTCATGCAACAACATTAACTTAATTTACAAACCTATATAAATATTGAGGTAAATCCTTCATGTATTAATCAAAATTCTTACTAAGCATCATACTTAAAAGATACCATACTTTATATATATGAAACACTAAAAATACATATATTAGAGTTGGATTCCTACATCTTAGAGGAAGAACATGGATTACAATTCTTATCTTTGCACCCACAGTTTTTTTTTTCTTTCCTTCTTCTTCCCTTTCTTTCTTTCTCCTTCTTTCCTTCTTGTTCTTGCTCTTGCCGAAAATGTCTTAAGACTTCCTCTTTTTTTGTTTTGGCATGCAAGACATGCCTTGCATGTCCCGCTAAGTGGAGCCTTCCATGTTGTTTCTCTTTTTTATTTTTTATTTTTTATTTTGCATGCAAGACATGCAAGAGTGGAGACTTTCATCATTACTCTCTCACACACACACACACATATATTCATACATATATTTTCTTATATAATGTATATGTATATATTTATATATCCATTTTTTCTTTATATGCATATTTATACATAGACATGTATATATATATATCCAAATTATTGATCACCCATTAAATTTATATTTTGAACCCTTAACCATTCCTTGTATATGCTAACACATTTTATTTTAATAACAATAAATTAATGTTACATGCTTGCCACTTAATTAATTTCACATGCGTTAACGTATATAAAATAATAAACTCATATCTGTCAACATTTTTATTTAACTTTTCACACTTGAATAAAACAATTCCCCCTATAACCATTGTTTATAAATTATTTATGAATATTAAAATTTTCATTATTCAAGTTTAGGTCTCATATCATTACTCATAATTAAATACTGATTGTCACTCCTACGGATGCATGTCATGTATGAATATACTTACTAAAAATATTACATGTTTGTTCGGGTTCTAAAATTTTTCCCACTTTAGGAATTTATCTCCAAAATTTGGCTTATCTGAAACAAGTAAAAATATATATTTTTTAACTATTTTAATTTTATATATAATGACTAAAATAAGTACTTTGTATTTAAATCTCTGACATAAAATAAAATGTCTAATTAGTTTTCTCGGGTCTCACATTGTGTGTGTGGGTGTATACATGGTGTCACAAAAATTCTACTGAAACCCAGTATCTCTCTCATTTTCTCTGTCTCGGTTTCCGCTGAAAAACCCACAAAAAACCTAAAAATTCCATCCAAAAATCCCACTGAAACCTCCCACCAAAATCCTTACCGACTAAATTTGTGAAATTAGCAGTAAATGCAACTCCACCCATCTCAATCTCACCTTTGACTGTAACCTCCTCTCCCAAATCAACCTTTTCATCGACCTTCAATTCTTCTTTCTATGGCGTTCGAATTGCTCCAGTTTGCCCCAAGCACCATTTGAGTTTTGATTTTTGTGTGATACAATATTATTTATTTTTCGGTGGAATTAAATGAATTTTGATTTTGGTTTTGGCAAAACATAGGGTGATCAAGTACTTTTTAATAAGTTTTTGGGCAACCAAAATACGATGGCTATGTTTGTGAATTATGACTGCGATTTGTGAAAATTTGTTAATTTTATATTTTAATTATTAATAGTGATTAAAGTTAATTATAATAGTTAGTTGAAATATAGAGCGTTGTTGAAATAAATTAATAAAAATTTATCTTTAAAATTGATAATATAATAAAAAAATATATATTTTGACTAATTACTTTAATTAATATCCTTGGAGTTGTTCCAACGAGCCAAATATTTCTTTTTACCCGTCTTATTCTCTAAGTTGAGGTTGAGAGTTCGAGTTTCTTAAGTTGAGGTTGAGAGTTCGAGTTTCTTAAGTTGAGGTTGAGAGTTCGAGTATTGGAATCTCCATTAAAATTTAGTGATTAATCGTTATATTATCTTATTAAAGTCTGATATCGAGAGGTGTTTTAAACGCATTCAGAATCCTTATGATCTCACTAACGAGGCCAATTGGGATGGTCGCTACGCTCTTTTCATTGCCACCACCAAAAAAAAAACAAAACAAAAAAGGAGCCAAATCTTTTTTCGAGCATCCTCCAACGAGCCAAATCTAACAACCCTTTTACAATACGAGCCGAGCCTGAGAAGACTCGAGTGTCGTGAAGCTTGGCTCGTTTGACACCAACCATAAATTCCCAACCCTACGCCTTTTCCCCTTTTTTCCTCCCAGCGCCGCTTCAGTCTTTCCACCTCTTCTGATGTCTCTTCGCTCTCCAGTAATGGAAGAAGAAGAACGACAAGGAGGTGTATATAGAGAACAACAACCAATATTCAGAGACCTAAGGAGATACTTCTGCCCGTACTGTGGCCTCTGTCGCTCCAAGAAGTCTCTCATCACCTCTCACATACTCTCTCTCCACCAGGTTAGTTAGGTTTCCCTCTCTCTCTTTCTCACACAATGAATCAACATTCTTTGATCTGTCAGTGTATGTAACCTCAATTCTGCATCTGTCCCTTCATTTTCATTAATCTCTGAATTTGCTTAATCGATTTGTTTACGGGGTTCTATCATTTTGTCCTAAGAGATATTTTATCGCTGTTTTAGCAGGAGCTTGATTTTCAGTGTTGAAGTTGTTGCTTCTATAATCTGTAGTTTCTTGATTATGTGTTCGATTGTAAAAATAATTTCCGAAAGAGCGAAAAATAATACTTGGAGAGGCAATCTAGAATCAACAAAACTGGTCACTACGTGTGATGCATAAAGAACCAGTTTAACTGTCTCAGACAGATTTGTTAACTGAATGTTAATTGTCTGCTAACATTGAGAGCAGAATTTGGGTTTGGTTGGTCACTCTAGACACACAAGATTGCAATGAAGCTTGGGTGGTCTTTGAAGGAACAAGCTTAAGCGATTCTAATATCCAAAACAATAGACTTCTAATTTCAGATTTTATTCTTTCAGACCACTACTTAATTACTTTATATAATATTGCATTTATCTGGGGACTATTAACAATATTATTTGTTGATACTTCGTATTTGTTATTGTATTTGATATGGTTAGTCCTTAGTCCTTACTGATTACTAGAAATTATTGTGTATCAAATAGGTAAAAACAAACGGTAGGTTATTGAAGAGGAAATTTGTATAGTAAATTTTGGGGCCGACCAGCGTGTGCTACAAAATTTTCAAATTCTAATTATTCCAATTTGTGCTGATTTCTAAGTCATCGACTTAATCTTTATTAAAACAATGAACATGACTGGTGGTCATAAGTTGTTTTTTCTTATGGGTAAGTAATAGTTTTTATGTTAATGTAACTATGAAGTTGGTTTTTTGCTGGCTGTTAATTAGGACGAAATGAAAGAGCAAAAAGCTGAGGGAGATGGGGAACAGGAAAGGAAGAGATTCAATACGTGTGAAGAATGTGGTGCAAGTTTCCGAAAGCCTGCTCATTTGAAGCAGCATATGCAAAGCCATTCACTTGAGGTGAGTTGGAATTTCAATTTTATGCTCTTTAAAAACTTAAGTAAACTATTTGACTGTTGATTAATCTGCCCCGCTTTCACCAAACGACTTTATTTGTTTTTTATTAATTGGTCTGAATTAATTTTTTCCTGGGTTTAAACTTTAATATATATTCTTGACCATTGAAGTAATCTTTGACTATGTTTCTATTATAGTTGTAGATATATACATTCATGGTGTTCATGCTTAACATTCCCTTTTATAAATTGTGTTTGCACATGTAAGTTATTTATACATACTTCAATATGCAGGTATGTTATTCCAGCAGTGGCAATCAGTTTTGCTGGTGGTTTAGGAAATCTGAATATGTGTCAGACTTTAGAGATGTAGTTTGTAGTAAGACATTGTGAAGTATTTTAACTTTCTTAATATCGAAATAAGCAGATGCTGGTTATTTTTGCTAGTGCTCAAAGTTTCCCCTGTTAATTTTGACAAGTTAGCATACCAAATCCCCAGATCTTGTTGCACCAAAATGAGTAGGGAAAAAAGGGCGGAGGAGGGAGTGAAAAATAGGGATTGTACGCAAGTTATGGTGGCCCAAAACCCAAAAAGTTTTCTCCCAACATGAAGTGGTGATTGCAATTTTTCATTCTTAATTGGGCTTTTTTTATCCCTGAGCTATTTATCGAAGAAACTATTGTTTCTTGATGACACTTGGACAAATTAATCTATGACGGTTATGCATCCTTTTGCATTGTGGTGCTTGCATTTTTATTATTAGGCCTTAACACTGGGACCTAGCATATGTAATTAATCTATGCTTTAGTAGTACATG